AAAACACAGGCAGCCTCAGGCTCATGTTTACCTCCAACGCAGCTCAGATCTCTGACTGACACATGTGAGGGCAAATCAGGATTGGGGCAGGTTGGCGCAGGTGATATTTGATCAGGGGGCCAAGAATTTCTAGGTATCCCCTTGAGGGCAGTCAACACAGTAGATGTCCAAAGATGAGAAGTGTATTGAAGAGATTGTCCAGTTCAGTGAAGATTCACAATAGAGAAGACAGTAGCCTAAGCAGTACAAAAAGGCGCAAGATAATCGTTAAACTATAAGTTAGACATCAGATTATTAAACTTAGTCTTGGAACTGATATACAGAAAGTCTCTTTTTGTGAAGTATTGATTCCTAATTGCTACTTTTCAGTTTTACTTTGTGATGATGGAGTTTTATTGAAAGTCTGGGATTACAAACCACAGTTGTGTTCTTCAGGCGCTTTCTATATGACAAGCATTCTAGACGATTCTGTCCTGATTGATGCCTTCCTGAAATCCGGCTTGTTTTGATTGGGACCATTATCTGGAGTTCCTAGCTTTAATGAGTCCTGCCTTGACCACATGGAGTTCCTGGAGTGTGAGGACAGTGACACAGTGATTACACTGTTTCCGTTAGCAGCTGGGGGAGACTCCAACATGCTGAGCTCCATCTGGTGCCAGGATGACTTACTGCAGCACTGAGACGCCCAGTTCGTGATATGAACGGATAACCACCCCCCCCCCCCCACCCCCGCCAACAGCTGGCTTCAGCTGCACTCATCAGAGCGTGCCAGACCACACACTCTGCCTCAACCCGCCCAGCACCAAGGGGATCCTTTAATTAAGAGGCCTTGCTCGACTTTCAATCAAAGTCATGAGTAAAGGTCACCTCTCTGTAGTCGGAGATGCAGCTGCAGAGGATCACATCTCCACAGGTGACATTTGACATGTTTAATGATGTGTTACAAATGTCACTTTCTCAGAGAATAAAACGTGGCTAAGAATGTGTTAGTAGAGCCAGTCAACACAAAATGATAGAGTTACCAAGATGAGTTGAATCTAAAGTCTCACGTTTCTTACTATAGCTATGTCTTGATCACAGAACCCAGAACTTTGACTTGTCTCTTTTTTACAAGTCAATGTATAGTCCATCCATCCATCCACCCATGTTCCAACTGCTGATAACGATCAGGGGCATGAGAATGTTTGTGTCAAGTCAAGTTAATAACATATTAATTACTTCATTAATGAATTACAAATCGTTATCGCTATTAAAATACTTTGGAGAAGAGAAACACATAAACCAGGGGTGCAAACTAGCCTGGATCTGTAGAGAGGGTTTGTGTCAGGAAGGGGATCCAGCTGTAAAATCTTTACCAAGACCATTAATGATGAGATCAGTCCAGTCTGGGGCGTAGACCATAAGCAACACGTGGGGGTCGCCTGGCTCCCGTGGGAAATGAGACAGGGTTACCAGGTCAAGGGTAGGTCTGGTTAAAGAAGTTAGTCCAGAAGAAGCAGAAGAGGGAGAAGTTGAAGGGTAGAGTGTGGACGCTGAATGTGAGGATGAAGACTGGGAAAAGAAGAGAGTTGGCAGACGATGGATAGGAGAAAGGTGGGAGCAAATGAGCAAAGAAGAAATGGTATGGGGGTAGTATTATCTAAAGAACTTAAGGAGAGTCTTGTCAGTGTGGATTGGAGGAGTGATGGTGATGAGTGTCAAGCTGGGCCTGAATGAGACTGTACTTAATGTCATTTGTGCATATGTTTGTCAAGTGGGCTGTGAGGAAGAGGAAAATGAGGCTTTCTCTTCACAAATGGATGAAGAGCTTAAAGCGACACAAGAGGGTGAGAGGGCGATTGTTGGTGTGGATCTAAAGGGGAATGTGGGAAAGAGTAGAGAGGTGATCGAGAGGGTACATGGAGGACGGGGAATAGGATAAAAATGGAGAGACGCCAAGCAGACTTTCTAATGTATAGAAGGAATCATATGAAAGACATAAATAGTTGTAAAGTCATTATTGGGGAAAGTGTCCAGCACAGCATAAAGGGGTTGTGATGGACTCTAGCATCACAGTCAGCAGGGGAACAAGACCAGAGCGAACAGCACCACAGTTATGGAGGCGTGGTCCCGAGTGAGCCTGGGAGGATCAAGGGGAGATGGAAGGGGTGCTTGTTGCTGCTGAATGATGAAAAATCAAGGGCAGTGTTTGGCCCCAAAAGAAGGGTTAGTATGAGGAATACAGAGGGAGGAAGTAAAATAGCCCCCCAAAAATGTAAAGGCAACAGGACCGATAAAACATCAGCGGGAATTTGGAAAAGTTTAGGGGAAGGTGGAATAGATGTTTTGTGGGATATAATGCTGAAGATCTATGAACAGGAGAAAATTCCAGTGGGGTGGAGGAACAGTGTGCCTATACCCATTTATAAGGAAAAGGGAATATTTGGGATTGTGGAAGCTATAGATGGATAAAGCTGATGTCACAGAAGAAGATCTGGGAAAGCGTTATGGAAAGAAGAAAGAGAACACCAGAGGAGAGCATCAGTTTGTTTTTATCCCAGGTAGAACAAATGATGCAGTTTCTGCATTTGCGTTAACGTCATGGAGAAACATTGAGAAAAACAATAAGACTAGAATATAGTGTTTATTGATTTAGAGAAGGCTTATGATAGAGTGCCATGTCGGGAGGTCTTCATGTGCATGAGGGAGAAAGGAGTAGCGGAGAAGTATGTGAGGACTGTCCAGGATGTGTATGAGGGCGTGGGTTAGAAGTGGTGTTGGTTGCAGACAACTTGGGCTGCATCAGGATCTTCAAAGCCTTAATTCTTTGATGTGGACATGAATGTGTTGACTTTTGAGGCAAAAGTGCTGTTCCCCTGGTGCATACTTTTTGCTGATGACATTGTGCTGTCGAGCACCTGAAAGCAGGAAGTGGAGAAGAATGGAGAATGGCTATGGAAGACAGAGGACGGAAGATAAACAGGAAGAAGACAGAGTAATTGAAGTTTAATTGTAATCACGATTCAGAAGTTAGCCTGAATCTAACTGTTGAAAAGAGTGGATAAGTTCAAATATCTAAAGCTCAAGATGATTGGATGGACAGATAACCCAGAGGGTGCAGTTTGGAGGGAAGAACTGGTAGAAGGTATTAGGAGTATCGTGCGGTGGAAGAGGTTTAAAGGTGAGACAAGGTGCAGAGAATGAAGGGAAACAAAGATTTCATGCTCATTTTTCTGCAGTGTGTATCGGTGGTTGTATCAGAGACGCAGCCGGCAAAGTTCATGCTTTGGGCAGTGGAGGTGCGCAGTGGAAGTGCGCAGTGGAGGTGCGCAGTGGAGGTGTGCATTGTACCACTGGGGCCGAGCCTGTATCCACCAAAAAGCCCCAACAAATCTCATTAACTAGAGCACCTGCTACATCATTCCCATGATGGCAAAACAGTGGATCTCCATCTGCCAGCGTTTAGACACATTTAATGAATTAAAATCAGGTAAAAAAAAGTGTACAGTAGATGCTATCGCTCTCTTAAAGAATCGGGCATGGAGAAGGTAATTTGATTCAAATTTAGACGCCCATATCAAAGCCGTAGTCTTATTATACTGTGAAATCTCATCTGAGCCACCTGCAGCTAAAATCCATTGGGCTGATGTTCTGTGCATACAGATAATAGGCTAGTAATAATAACCAATGGTTGTTATTTCCTGTTGACCTCTGTTACTCCCTGCTGTTCTGACTTTCTGACTTTGACTTATTTTTGTTAATTTTTCAGCTTGCAGTTCTTACACAGAAGCTGCATAATTTCCGCATGCCTCCATAAATTTTCCCGCTTATTAATGTCCTGTAGTTTTCAGGCCTTATTAAAATAATAATTCTTGGCAGGCTTTTTGGGTTCAGCCTGTTACTGGTTATTGGTTAATTTTATTATTTAATAAGCTCTTATTTTCTTTCGTCTGGCAGGTCTAAATCATTGTAATTGCATTCTTATTGTTTTATTTATCAACAAAAACGTATCATAGATGTTCTTGTTTGTATGCAATTGAGGCTCTGAGGAAGGGCACATTCTGATTGGATATCCATGGTTTCCACTGAAAACTGGCGTTTGCTGTAGTATGAGGAGAGCTGAACAGGGGAGGTAGGTCGAGTCCACGTCACAGGGAACTCGGTCAGCAAACCGCAGGCACCAAATGGACCGTGGTGATGTGAGGGGTTCTGAAGAAAGACCCGGCTTTGAATGGGAGCTCAGTGCTACATGACTCATCCTGGTAAAGGGCTCATTTAGGGCGGCGTCACCACAATGGGATCCCCACGCCGACCTTGTGAGACACCGAATCAGGGCAGTGGAGCATGCCGACTTTGGGCCGGGATTCTCCAGTCCACTGGTTGAGCTGTATGAGACCTTTTCTTCTCGGCTCCTCTGTGCCTACCNCCGACTTTGGGCCGGGATTCTCCAGTCCACTGGTTGAGCTGTATGAGACCTTTTCTTCTCGGCTCCTCTGTGCCTACCACCCCCCCCCCCCCCCCAACCCCTAAAAAAACACTGCTGAACAGCTTCAAGGGGAAAATTGTCATTCTCCTCTCTGTCTCGAATCAAAGGGTGCAGCCATATGAAAAATGAATAAAAATCTAATGTGCAGCAAGATGATGGCTCAGGATCTAATGTTCCTATACGGATACACCCCCAGGCTGCCCCGACACCCCAAACCGCGCCTATAACACATAATAAAAAAAACACACATGGAAACTGGGACTTCTCTAATCACAATCTAGCCATGCAATAACATTCTGATTGGTCAATCTACAGAGGGGTGGCCAATCCTATCCAGAAAGGGCTGTTGTGGTTTTCACTGCAACTCCATAATTAGATTACTAATTAGACGACTGATTGACTGAAGAGTCCTCACACCTGGTTTGGAACAGCTGACCTAAAGGTCACCCCGAAACCAGCATGTACGCCGGCCCACGCCTACTGTAGAGCAACAATCAATGAAATAGAATATGTGTTTTTTTTGTCTCTATAACAGGTGTAAACAGATGAACTACCCTGACGACCTTCCGCAGATCTCTGTGGTCTTCATCTTCGTGAACGAGGCCCTGTCCGTTATTCTGCGGTCTGTGCACAGCGTGGTCAACCACACCCCAGCTCACCTCCTGAAGGAGATCATCCTGGTGGATGACAACAGTGACAGTGGTATGGAGAGCACTCTCTTTGTAAATGTCAAACTGTCCTGCTAAGTGACCCTCTGTTTCTGGCAAGAGCTGCTTCTGTGCTGGGAGGCATCAGTGCTGAGCCAGACAGCCATCCAGGATGCCATATTCCAAAGGGGTGCTGACTTAGGGAATTGCTGGTGTCAACCCCCCCCCCCCCCCCGACAAGCTTCACTGTCCAAGAGAAGTTAAATTAGGTGGTAAAGTTTACCTGGTGGGGTGTGTTTTAGCATGATGCTGATGTCATCAACTGTACTAGGCCTGACAAAACAATGTATGGTATCCCACACACACACACACACACACACACACACACGCACATGTAGGGTAAACATATCCTTATGGGGACCGCTCATTCATTTCAATGGGAAAAATGCTAACGCTAACTATGACAACCTTAACCCCTACCCTGCCCTAACCATAACCATAACTAACCTAACAAAATACAAGAGTTTTTGCATTTTTAGTTTTTTCATAGCAGTCACCGATTTTTATAAAATAGAGTTTTCCCTTATGGGGACCAGGAAACCAGTCCCCATAAGGGAAAAAAAACGGATATTTATCACGTTATGGGGACATTATGTCCCCATAAGGGTAGGTAAACCTGTTTGCACACACACACACACACACACACACACACACACACACACACACACAGATATTTGGTGGTGTAGGTGAAGGACTGACTTCTTAGAGTGTCAGTGTATTTGCAGGAAGACTATTGTGTCAAACGGCATAAATAGAACTGTTTGCTATAACACATAGCTGTGCTTTATTAGCAGTGTCTCACAGTGACGCAGTAAGAAGTGGTGTTTTATAGGGACCCCAGTGCTGGTGTCTTGCTCCATTAGAAGCATATGAATCGAAACGGGGAATTACATTTGAGCCTGAGCTTAATTACCTTCCACATCCTACCAGAAATTAGCAGAAAAATGCAGGTAATTACAATTGGGCTTTAATGTCATTTTCTGTGTGTTAACCCTCTGCGTATCGCATTGATAGCAGCAGTGACCATTATTTCTTATTTGAAATAATTTCATAGCACTTCATGTGATATTTAATATTTAATAATAATATTTTTTACAGTAAGAAACTTCCTACAAAGTACAAAGATGAGAGCTTACGTTGTATTTTTAATCCAATAACTGGATTCTTAAACTGATAATTCTCGACTCTTCAATTCTGTGCTGTATTGTCATTATTTTAAAACCTTTTACATGTTAATTGTACTTCTATAGCTGTGGTAGCTTATATGTATGCCAAGCCAATAAAACTTCTGGAACTGAATAGGGGTTGGACAGACAGAGAGAAAAAGAGAGAGAGACAGAAAGAGAAAGAGGTGGGGGGGAGCTGGGATGTTTCCCATTTGGATACAGAGAGATGTACCCTCTGGGGTACGGGGAGCTCAGCAACAGGCCACACCTGCATGGCCTGGGCTGCCCGCCGACCCCCCGGCATGGACCCCTGAGGGCCGAGAGCTTCTCAAGAGGTACCAGAACATTGGCCGTAGCCCAGCGTCCCCCAACTGACTCGTAGGCGAGCTGCTGCATGAATAGCATCTTGAAAGGGGACCAAGTGAGTGTCAACACTCACAGATTTCCAGACCGGTCTCTCCCCCCAGCTCCCGTAGAGGCTTATAAATAGGAAGGCGGTCAGGCCGCCAAATGGCGCGTGGTGGGGGGGGGGTGCCAAAAAGGGCGGGGCCTTCCCCACTTAGCGTTAGCGGTGGGTGCTGGTCTGTGGTGTTAGCATGACGGCCTGGCTGCTTTTTCACTCACCAGCTTCCTTGTCACCTTTAGACTGTTTGGGTACAGCAGTGTTTCCCAATCCGGTCCTCGGGGGCCCGCAGACAATCCACGTTTTTGCTCTCTGTCTGGCAGCGAAGTTGGAGGGAACAAAAACATGGACCAGATGTGGGACCCCGAGGACTGGATAGGGAAACACTGGGGTAGAGAATCGGCTGTAGGTACGAGAGGCCTTCCTCAGGCCGGCGGACTGGCTCGCCTCAGCCCTTCCCCTGCTGCGGTCGCTTTCTTGGGCTTCTTAGCCTTATCTCTATAAACTGCAATTCATTTTATAAAGTGCAGTTCATTTCAAAGCAGGCAATTTAGGGTTTCTCTGCAGAGACCAGGATCCATAATGTGTAGGTATGGGACCGTGGTGACCGCGGTCACTAACCAGTTTGCTTTGCAGTGCGCCCAATATTTGCTGAAAGAAAAATGACCCTTTTCGCAAGTTAACAGCTACTTATAATTTTTAAATAAGCTTCTAATGAAATTATTTGAGATATAGTTTGCTCTATCATTTGTTTCAATCTTTGAAGCGTGGTTCTCATCTGGGTTTAAAGCTTTCCTCTGTACAGTCAGTAGACACTGGATCCATTTATGTCTGTTTATCGCCTATTGCCATGACGACCTCATAAACTCAACCAATTATCGGCACAAACCACCTATAGCTACCGCCGACGATGTCTTGTGTGCTGAGTAATGGATGCTGTGGATTATGTCATTTCTGTCAGGACAGAGTGAGATGTAAGTAGAGAGAAAAGATTTAGCACGTGTGCTGAACGACTGCATCTCCTGCTAACAAGTGGTTCATTCATGGAAGAAGCATCTTTAAGAAACAACCTAAGTCCACCATTTTCGGAATCTGTAATGTAATCAAATATGAAATATGCATCAGCTTTTGTATCCTATTTAATTCTCCTGATGGTCTTCGTGTTAGATGCTTCCCACATTATGGATCCGCTACTTCGATCTCTCAGTATCAGTAAGTGTGATGCACTTTGCCGGTTCCTGCCGCCCCTTCCTCTTCCACATAATGATGGCTGCTCTCCTGACCTTGCAGTGGAGCTGAAGTTCAACCTGGATCAGTACGTGAACAAGCGCTATCCTGGCCTGGTGAAGATCGTCCGCAACAGCAAGAGGGAGGGTCTTATCCGGGCACGGATACACGGCTGGCAGGCGGCCACGGCCCCCGTTGTTGGCTTTTTCGATGCGCACGTCGAGTTCAACACAGGCTGGTAAGTGTGGGAGAAGGCAGTCGTGCCGTACGAAACATTCACGGGGCTGGCCAGGTGCATCATGGAAGTCACAGGAAGTAGAGAGTTTCCATTCTAAGGATGTGAGACTGCAGGCAGGAGGGAGTTATGGGGGATGAGTGGAGGGAGTTGGGACATAAAGGCACCTGTTTTCCTTTTATTTCAAGGGAAACCAGCACAGGAGAGCAAAATAGGTTCTGGAAAGAGCAACAACGCAATGAGGAACTGAAGAACAAATTTCCGAAACTCCATTTAGTAAGAAAACACTATTTCTGTAGACGTAGTGAGTTTTGGAAAATTTAAAGTTGGATTACATGAGGACTGAGTTTTGGTTCCCAGTACTGCAACATATGATGAGAAACCTTGGCATTGGAGGTCTCCTCTGAAAAACAAGAAAACATGGGCTGAGTGAGTTTTGGAAATGTGCTTTTAAATTAGGTATTGGGGTCTGTGCACTGAGACACAACAACACACAGGGACAGGACACGAAGGGGACAATCAGCACGTACCATGGCAGCTGGG